TTTCCTCTGTTATTCTTTTTGCTGCCGCGATCCCTTATTTAATTTCCTACTCCCGAAGCTGAAAAAGGTGAGCTACTTTTGCTGTTACTAGGGTTTTTTGTTTATTGATGCTTATAAGCGAATGAATTTTTGCTTACCATAGTCTGTTATTCGTACCAGGACCCACACGTACGCAGTGAGACACATTGTATAGCTCGTCCGGACACCCCATCTTCTTCATTTTTCTGGTCTAATCTCGTCCAGCCCCCTTTTTAACGGTTTTTCGAAGCATTTTTCACTTTGGAAACACCGATTCACGCAGTTTCTCCACCTCATCGCACTATTTTTGACCTTGTCTTCCTTTTTTCATCATAATCTGGATTACCCAAACTTATCGTGAACTGTGCCTTTAAAAATGTCGAACAACCTTCATCTGATCGCACTCGAAAAGCTCCAAGAATTTCCTCCTGGCGGCATCCAGCCTCGTTTTCACTGCTGGGAGGTTGGTTATGTTCGATGGCAACTTTTCGTTGGAATGCGGATCGTCGTCGACTGTTCATCGTCAGAATCGAAGCGAACGAATAAACGAGTAAAGGTTGCATGGCTGACGAGTTCCTCTTGGAATGTAGTGCTGGAGTCAACGGAACGAGCGCAGTAGCCGCGTCACCATTTGTATAGAACAATTGCTTCTCTCGTTGCGTGACGATGGTCCGGAGGCACCAAAACTTTTTCAGAGGATCACTATCTCAACACTTTCGGATCAACCTGATACTTTCGCTTACAACACCTGCGCTGTTACCCTTTGACTCAGCCTTCACCTTTACAATGTACATAATGATACGGGTAAAAAACGACCACCTGGCCCATCTGGCGATTCTTTTCTGTGGTCGGATCAATACGTGTTCCGAATGAATCCCGAAGCGCGATATGCAAACTGTGATAGCATTGCAATGAGAGTAGCACAAACCTACCTGTCTGAGAGAACAGAGCAAAATGAACTGATGGGCTAAACGCTCAGTGAGGAGTTACAGATGACAATCAATGTATAATATGAATTGTTGAAAAGATTGCCAGCCATATGGCATAATCACTTCTTCGACACCACAATTACTTATTCTTGCCGAGCACATTCATAAAGGCATAGATGTGATGTTGACGCAACGACCTCTCGGATTCTTAACTTGGGCACGCGGTAGCCGCACTTACCTTACTTGCGTTAACACCGTCTATCTGGGGCCTATTAAAGACCAAGAGTCCCGAACCGATCAAGAGAAGCCACCATGCCAACTAGATTCGATACGACGGGGATGGTTAACAGAATGGACAGGCAGAGAACACGGAGAGGGGACAGCTTTAGCAATGAAACAGTGAAAGGGTGCCCGTACCGAAACAAAGACCGGAGTCGAACAATTCTCTAGCGGGCCACACCATTCGGTTCGGAACACATGGGTTTACGCAAATGAACTTTAGTTGCCAGAAAACGCTGCTATCGTGAGGGAGCAGTGATCCTAAGGGTGCCCTATCACACGTATGATTACAGGACGAAATCCCGGACTAGCAGTTACCTTGGTCAACAAAGACTTCATTATGTGAGGTCAAAGGACTAACTAATACTAGACTCATCATCTCATCTCATCGGAATATTTTGCAGGAGGTTTGTAATCCCCGACTGCATACAGCCTCAAAGTATAGCCATATAGAGTGTCCAACGCTCCTGCGATTCTGAGTGGAATTAGAATCACGAGGGCATCCCCAAAACGGGTTGATCAACGCTTAGAGTACATTACCGTACATCCTTCAGGAAATTCATGTCTTCAAGGTAACAAAGGATTTCACTGCCAAGGTAGGTTCTGATCATTCTTCTGTCTCAGCGTGGCAATAACAAAGGAACGGATCTAGTCCATAAATCAACCCTGGCTCGGGTCTGATCAGATCATTAATTAATCTCCATTACTATGACAACTCTTTTAGGCAATTTTTCCCAACAAGAATCAACATTGATGTTTCATTAACAATCGACAGCTTCGATTTTATTATTCCTCTCAGAGGAAGACCGAATTTTCGCAGAAATTCTTAAAAAAGAGGCTAAAAGGTTTTTTTTGGACACTAACTTTATATCTTTTCGCATGAGACTGTACAGAAATCTTTGGCAGCTTTTTTTATACACCGATAGTACTTAATTTACCAGGGAATAAGATGTACTGCATACTGCCTCATAGGCCCAAAATGTCAGCATTCCATTGAGCTCTTGTAAAGCCTTCTTCCCTCACCTTCCCCTACTTTATTTGGAAAAAAGAGTTCTCAGAAGGCAAGAAATTGTCCAGAATGACTACCTATGGGCAATTTTCGAGCGCCTCCCCAATAAAGAGAGGGGAGGCCTTTCAATAAAAGTTACTATTACCTCAAACGTGCCATAAGAATATTTCAAAAAAGATAACACTAAAGGAAGATATTTGTCAGAGTGCTCCTGCACCAAAACTACAAATTTCCGCAGGAGTTGGCCTGGGGGGTAGCATTCACAGCTACCAGATGGGTAGAGTAGAGTTAGGTATTGGAGAGTTGAAGAAGATGGTAAAGAGACTGGTGTAAGAAAGATTTGTAGGGACTTTGAACAGAAAATAGGAAGAGCTGAAAATTTAATGGCTTTAAAAAGATGCCTCTCTCTTCAACTCTGATTGGTTTCGTTCACTGAAATAAAATAATACTTGATACTAAGTTCGTGGGCCATAGTGAGAAAACGAATCTGTGAAAAAAAAAAACGAGAAAAGGTAGTGATCGACAACGGACACGATACTACTCAAATATTGATTTATTTGAAAACAGAATTAAAAAATCATGAGTATGAGTTAATTCGTCCCAATTCGACGTCTTTCAAGGTCTGCGCCGTTGGGAGTATGTATGAAACTCAAAAAAGAAAAAATCGCTAAAAAAATTTAAAGTTCTTGGCTGATACAAGGCTGAATCCTTTACGAAAAGGATCCGAGTCTCAAGATATAAGATCCATGGATATAATCAGTGGGTTTGCAAATTAAATAAACAAACTAAATAATCAATTGTTTTTCAGCTCACAAACAGAATTGCTATAATAGTTTGCTTTCTGAGTATGCAAATCACAACCTAATTTTATTTGACAAGACGGTTTTTTTTGTTTTTACGATTTTTTCATTTCAAATATTCAGTATAATTATGCACCCGAAAAATATCGAAGTGGCATCTAATTGTATTGTACTGAGTAATGAAAAATAATAGTCTGAAATTGCATTAAA